AGAGATGAAAATCAGACAGTTCAGATTGGAGTGACGCTTTGCTGACATATCTGGGCCACACCGCGGTGTGTGCTCTGGCATCCTTGCAACTTAATCCACTCTCCTAGTTTGTGACACTCTCTCTTGCTGCCACACTGGGCCTGCCTCTCCTTCTCTGTCATTGTCCTCTCCAATTTGCCTCTTCTTCAGCAGATGTGGGCTGTGAATCTTAATATCCACTCCACTTATTATAAAATGTGTCTAACATAAGTGCAAGGGGCACCAGGGGTGGATTTTTAAGAGCTATGGGGTGAGCAGTGTCTTTGCACTTGAAGGAGACGGTGTGTGGCCTCCACTGTGGTTGTTCCAAGCTGTCAAGGGTTTTGACTGCATTCCAGATACATGAGGGCATCAGAGTAAATGATTTCTGGATAAATGAGGTTGGCTTATAGAGTTCTTTTGATAGAATGTACCTTTTTAACTTTCAAGTCAATGCAGTAATGCTAGTAAGGTATTTCTGAGGAGGATCCTGCAGGACATATTTTGACAATGAGTTAGTGCATGCTTGCAATTAGTACCATGCATTTCTACAAAATTAATGTTCTAGTGCTCTTTTTTTCCTAATGTGATTTAACTAATATGCTTATTATTAATTTACATAGTAAAGCTTCCAAAAGTACATCCACATAAACTTAAACTCAATAGAAGCCAAATTCATAGAAACCCAAAGTTATGAATCAGAAGATGTTTGGGGATTTTAAAAAAAAACAAATTAGAGTGCCAAAAGAGCTCCAAACAGAGCCTGTATCTCAGAGGAGAGAAAGACAGGAATAGACATGCTGAGACCGATAGAAAAAGGAGGCTTTGCTAGAAAACAGTGGTTTCTTAATTAGAGAGCCACATAGAGGAGAATGGCTTAGGGATTCTGGGTGCCTGAGACCGTATCGGTCAAGGCCCCTTGACCACAGAGATACTCAGAGGGAGTCTCTGTGAGGTGGGCTAAGGGGCCCTGCTGAGACCAGCTAATGGGGGGAGTGGGTTGGGCAGCAGCCAGGTTCTTTCCTGGGAAGGCATTTAGAGGCTTAAACCACATAATAATAGTCCACCCACTGAGGAAGTTGCCAAGCCTGAACTTGCTAGGTCTTTTTATTTACTTGAAGAAATTTCTTCAGCCCTAAACGTACAAAGCGCAACTCATTATGCCATACCTTCCCCTTCAACCTCCAACCGTGTAGTTGAGAAAAATACACTGGAATGTAGTCTATTCCTCCAGAATAGAAGCAGAGGAGCAATTGTGGGCCTCAGGTTATGAGGGCAGACACTCTGTGAAGAGTTCCCAGCACTCTAAAGCACTCAGCTCCCTGTGTGGGGAGGAGGTGACCTTGAGAATAACAGCCCAGGGCATGGCTTGCCCTCAGTGCAGCGGTTGGGGTGGGGGAGTGGGGGGGCTTGGCTTTGCTGGGGGCTACTACAAGGTGAGAAGGGGAGGCTGGGGGCTGGGAGGGCTCACTTCACACAGCATAGGAGGATGGACTGGGGGACAGGCTGGCCTACCCTTCACACACATGCAGACTGAACACCACCTCATGGGGCAGATAAAGCCTGTCTGCTACTGTGAAGCTTACGTTCTTAGGGGTAACAGAGGCATAATAGGTGAATAAGTGTCTTCGGCAATTTCAGGTCATGCTAAAGGATGTGGATAAAAAAGACCGAGTGTAGTGGCTCATGCCTGAAATCCTAGCACTTTGGGAGGCCGAGGTGGGAGGTTTGCTGGATTCCAGGAGTTTAAGACCAGCCTGGGCAACATAGAGAGACACTATCTTTACACAAAATGTTAAAGAAAATTAGCCAGGTGTGGTGTCACGCACCTATAGTCCCAGTTACTTGAGAGGCTGAGGTGGGAGGATGACTTCAGCCCAGGAGTTTGAGGCTGCAGTGAGCTGTGCTTGCACGACCACATTCCAGCTTGGCTGACAGAATGAGACCCTGTCTCGAAAGAATGAAACGAGGTGGCTGGGCACGATGGCTCATGCCTCTAATCCCAGCACTTTGAGAGGCCAAGGCAGGCAGATCACCTGAAGTCAGGAGTTCAGGACCAGACTGGCCAACATGGTGAAACACCTTCTCTACTTAAAATACAAAAATCAGCCAGGCATGGTGGCATGCACCTGTAGTCCCAGCTACTCAGGAGGCTGAGGCAGGAGAATCACTTGAACCTGGGAGGTGGAGGTTGCAGTGAGCCAAGATTGCACCACTTCACTCTAGCCTGGGCAACAGAGCGAGACTCCATCTCAGAATAAATAAATAAAAATGAAACAGGGTGATGTGATGGTGACCAAGGGGCTCCTTTAGGTAAAGGAGTCAGGAAGGCATTTTCTATAATGAGAATTTCTCTGACCTGAAGAATGAGGTCAGTCCTGTGATGACTGGTTCCAGGTGGCTTTCAGGCAGAAGGAATAACCAATGAGAAGACCCTGAATCGTGGATGAACTCTGCCATGTGAAAAACACTCACACAACTATAGAGCTTAGCATGTGAAGCGCACTGGGCCGGAGAGGGGGTGTCAAGAAAGGAGATCAGAGGGCTTGGTGGAGGCCAGCACAGAAAGCCTGCCGGGACAGGCAGCACCCTGGGCATGATGGGGAGTGATGGAGGCTTGAGAGAAGGAGGGTGCAGTGGTCACTCTGGCTGCAGTTTGGACAATGGACTTCAGAAGGACAAGGCCAGAGCACTTAGGCTATTGTAGTGGTCCAGGGTGATGGACAGAGAGAATGTAAAGGGGCAAGTTTGGGATAGAATTTGAAGGGAGCTCTTGCAGCACTGGGGGTGGATTTGCTGTGGAGATGGGGTGAGGGAAGTGCAGGTGAACCCCTCCCTGTGCTCAGGGTGGTGGGGCTTTGTCCTGAGGTGGGAGCTTTGGAGGGAGCAGGCTAGGAGTGGTAGGTGGAAGGGGGTAAGCATGAATGAAAACTGAGAGTTCTGTTTTGGCCACAGCGAATCTGTTAGGAGATGTCAGGAGATTATATGATGCCTGCTCAGGAGTTTGGTCAGGGCTGGAATGCAATATTTAGCATCTGATCTTAGATGGACTTTCAAACCAGGGCACTGGTTGAACTCACCTAGAGAGAGTGTGGAAAGAGAAGGAGAGTAAAGAAGAGTGAACTCAGAGGTCTTCCCACACTGAGAGACTGAGCACCCAAAAGGAACCAATGAAAAAGGAGCCACTCAGGAAACTTTGCTTGCCCAGAGGGAGAGGAAGTTGTTTCTGGAGAGACCAGTTAGTTGTCACATGGTGCTGAGAGTTGAATAAAAATGGGCAGAGAAGTAACCACTGGATTTGATACCATGGAGGCCACTGGTGACCTTGACAAGTAATCTGTCAAGGTGGTGATGGAAGTCCTATCAAATTGAGGTGAAGAGTCAGAGGGAAGTTAGGAGGTGGAGCCAGGGGCTGTAGCACCTCTTTGAAGACGTTTCCTTATAAAGGGGAGCTGTGCACCTGGGCACTGGCTGGAGAGAGATGTGGAACTGAGGAAAAGACAAATGGTGTGCTTGGTAGGTATGACAGCAGAGGAGAGGGAAGCAAGGGGGTAAAGGGGTTGCATGAATGTGGATGAATGACTTGGGGTGAGTGGTGTTTTTAAGCTATTCCCTGTGGACTGCACAACGCAGTTCCCTCTTTGGGCTCCCCCAAATTTACCTATAAATTCTACCCATGTCCCCTAACACTGTGATGTGGGCAGATGCGTCCAAGAGGCACAGAATCTTCCTTGGGCTACAGAACACAGGAAGAAGCTGGAGCTGATTTGCCACAACCAGTGATACAGGCTCAAGGGGTGGGCGAGAGGTCGTGGATTGATTGCTCTGGTCACTGACTGATTTATTCAGTCAGCAAACACCTTCCAGCTCCCTCTGCACCAAGTGCAGTTCCAAGTCCTGCAGCCACAGTGCAAATAAGCTCCCTCTACCCTTGAAAGTGCATTTTGCCCATAGCGGGATGGGGCCACTGGCAAGCCAGCAGCTTGGGGTGGAATGTACAGCCCAAGGCAACCTTGCTGTTTTTCAGCTGCACAGTTTGAACCCATTTGGAGGAGGGAGTTGGTGTGCAAGTTCCTTTAGGGGGAGGCTTTTGGAAGGAAGTGGAGTCAAGGGTAAGATTGAGGTAGTTGGTGTGCAAGTTCCTTTAGGAGGAGGCTTTGGAAGGAAGTGGAGTCAAGGGCAAGACTGTGGGCAAGTCCCCACACCAGCATCTAAGGGGCCCCGGAGGCTGACCCGGAAACCCCAAGGCTGCTGCAGCCCCGGGGCTGGTAAAGCTGGGATTAGGAATCTGTGGCCGCTTCGGTTGGGAGGTTTGGGGTTTTCTGTAGGTGAATAACCTGTGACCTCCCTGAGGGCGCATACTGAGGGAGGGGCTTCTGCCTGTGTGAGGGAAGGCCTCTGGGCTTCATGCAGCTCCTGGCAAATGCTGAGCCCTGGATCCAGGGAGCAGGGGTTCTCCGGCTCCAGGCGGCCTTCTCTGCTTGGCTTTAAGAAAGGGGGACTTGGTTCCGGTTCCCTTCCACCTAAGCTGGCTGTTGTGACTTTGGATGAATTGTTTAACCTGCTATTTCTGCTTCTTCAACTGGAAAAATAAGAACTGTGCTTATGCCTACCTTACAATGTTATAGTTGGGGTAAAATGAAGATATAATTGATTCAGCAAATGCTCGTGTTTTGAGAGTTGCCAGGTGTGAGTTCTGGAGCCATGCGTCCTGGGTTCACGTCCTGGTTCTGTTTTTTTACTGCGTGACTGCATACAGGGAACTTTGTACCTCAGTTTCCTGATCTGCACAATGGGGATAGTACTAACACCTGCCTTCTGAGGCCTCTAATGAAGGACTGTGAGGATCTGTGAAGCAATCCGTTTAATCGCTGAGAGCATCTCATCTAGGAAATGCTGGGTGCCAGCCGCGGTTAGGAAGATGCTCTCAGGTGCACAGGGCCTTGTTGGCAGCGATGTGATGGTTTTATCTCTTCTGCCAGTTCCGCCTGGTGGTGAAGACAGCCCTGAAGCTGCTGCTCGTCTTTGTAGAGTACTCGGAGTCCAACGCGCCTCTCCTAATTCAGGCTATCACTGCTGTTGACACGAAAAGAGGTGAGTAGTCCTTGCCCCCTTATGTCGTGAAGGTGATGGTGTCTAATGTAGGGAGGTTTCCGCGTTGTATGTGTTTGAGACAGATTTAAGAATTAACAGAATTCCTGAGATGTGGACTTTCCACTGCAAGAAACATTGTTTAGGATAGTAAGCACACAAAGCTTAGGGCCAGAATGGGGTTTGATAATGAAAGAAAAGTGATCATGGGCTTACCTGGGAGAGGTCAGATGCTGAGCTTGTCTTTGCCTCTACCAAGCTCCTGCCACCGAAACACAGAAGTCCAGCTCCTCCTCCTGTTCTTCCTGTCTTGTTCAAGGTCGCCCTGGCTCCTTCCTCCCCTCCCCTCTATGCTTCATTGCTTAAGACCCCCAGATGTTTCTAGAACCTTCTCCCTAGTAAACATACATGTGCATCATTCTTAGCAAACTATCGCCAGGACAAAAAAACCAAACACCGCATGTTCTCACTCACAGGTGGGAATTGAACAGTGAGAACACTTGGACACAGGAAGGGGAATATCACACACCAGTGCCTGTCATAGGGTGGGGGGAACAGGGAGGGATAGCATTAGGAGATAGCTAATGTAAATGATGACTTAATGGTTGCAGCACACCAACATGGCACATGTATACATATGTAACAAACCTGCACGTTGTGCACATGTACCCTAGGACTTAAAGTATAATTAAAAACAAAACAAAACAAAAAAGAACCTCCCTTCCTCTCTTCCATCCCCTTCCATCCCCTGCCTTGCCTTACTCAGGCCCTCACTATGTTGAACCTATGATCCTGGCAACCCTCCAAAACAGTTTGGTCATATCCACCTGCCAGTGGCTTCCCAGTGCCTGTAGCATAAAGTCAGTCCCCTGGCTAAGGGGACCCTTCACCCTTCAACTCCTGCCCGCCTGCCACCGCCTTCTCTCACCCCGGCTGTATCCCCACCCCCTTGCCTTGGGCATGTGCTTTTAAAGCCCATGTATGTACCTCTTCTCTGCTGTGGTGGTGTTGCCCATCCCTGTCTCTCCAAGTTGAGGTTGCCTGCTCAAGGATGGGGTCTCTGTCTCCCAGCATGGTGTCCTAGCGCCCTAACTGGCCCAGAGCCAGCAGGCATGCTGCAAACATGTGGCGAAGAATGAGCTTCTGCTCTGGTTTACTGTGTAACGTGCTGTGGACCCTGTGATATTGGGAAGGCTGGAATTAAAATGCTTCCCAATTAAAATGATTTTTATCCTTTTGTCTTTTGTTGTTTGTTTTCTTCCCCAGTAAGACCCAGGTTTTATTATCATCCCCACAAAGACTCAAGAACAAAAACTTGACAATCGTTTTTCTTTTTGTGATTGTAATTGTAATACTACTGTTATAAAAACTTGGGAAAAGGTTAAAGAAGACAAAAAAAATTCACCTCTAATCTCAACAAAGATAATCACTGTTAACCTGTTGGTATATTTCCTTATAGTTGTGTGTGTGTGCGTGCACACTTATGCATAAAGCAGCCAGGATGTGTCAGGAAGAAACGGGCGGCCTACATTGTACTTTTGATTCAAACCAGTTGTGTCTGTGATTTAGCATTACTCAGACCCACCTTTGAATGCTGAATCCAAATGTGAAAGAAAGTAGCTTGAGTTATTTTAGAAGTTTAAATGAAAGTTAATGAAAAACATCCAGGACCTTTAACGGGGGCTCCTATACCCATGAACACGCAGGCAGATGTCGGCACTAGGCATGGCTGATGGCAGGCCAGGAGGCAACTTGAGGTCTCTTTGTTGCGGGTATGTGAGGGAGACAAACTCTAATACATGGTCAGCGGCTGTGAGTCTGGAAGGTGTTTCTCAGGCTGAGGCAAGTTTCTTCTGCCACAGCGTGTTGCCCTCTGCTGCTAGGTAGAAAGACCCTTATGGCCAAGAGTAGATCATGGGGCCAGTCTAGAATCCTTGATAAGGAATGCCGATGGCACAGTAACCAGGTCTAGCTTTTCCAAGGCTAGTCAATTAGGTTTAAGGCCAACAGTGTGTGTTTTGGCAGCTGGTAGGCAGCAGCGCCTCTCCTTCATCCTTGGAGGATTTGTATTTCATCCCTTAACTCTGGTGGTTGCTTTAGGACAACTAATGAACTCTTCATCTTCCTGTCCTAAGCTTCGGGTAACCCCAGGGCCCTTGCTATGGGTGTGAGTTAGAGGGCCAACTTCTCATGACCCGGGTTCTCCTTTGGCTTTGCTAAGCTGGCAGCTGAGAGTTCCCTTCCTTGAACTTCATATCCCTTAAAGGGAATGTTGTGATGGATGAGGGAGTGATCCTGAAATGAACCCAGGCCTTTGTATACCATATCCAAGACTCCATCCATAGCCCCAGCCAGAGATTCTCATCTGCCAGACCAAGTCTCTCCATCGAGATAAAACAATGGCCATCTTTTCCTGATTAGTAAAAATAATTTTTTAAAAAAGCTAATGAATTGTCTTCTTAGCTTTATGGTTTGTTGTTGTTGTTGTTTTGTTTTATTTTTTGTTTTGAGGCAGAGTCTCGCTCTGTTGCCCAGGCTGGAGTGCAGTGGCGCGATCTTGGCTCACTGCAAGCTCTGCCTCCCAGGTTCACGCCATTCTCCTGCCTCAGCCTCCTGAGTAGCTTGGACTACAGGTGCCCACTACCATGCCCGGCTAATTTTTTGTATTTTTAGCAGAGACAAGGTTTCAGCATGTTAACTAGGATGGTCGCGATCTCCTGACCTTGTGATGCGCCCACCTTGGCCTCCCAAAGTGCTGGGATTACAGGCGTGAGCCACTACGCCTGGCCAGCTTTATGGATTTTGTCTATAAAATTTCTTGCCAGGCGCGGTGGCTCACGCCTGTAATCCCAGCACTTTGGGAGGCTGAGGTGGGCGGATCATGAGGTCAGGAGATCGAGACCATGGTGAAACCCCGTCTCTACTAAAAATACAAAAAATTAGCCGGGCGTGGTGGCGGGCGACTGTAGTCCCAGCTACTTGGGAGGCTGAGGCAGGAGAACGGCGTGAACCCAGAAGGCTGAGCTTGCAGTGAGCTGAGATCGCGCCACTGCACTCCAGCCTAGGTAACAGAGAGAGACTCCGTCCCAAAAAATAATAATAATAATTTCTTAAACCTTTGTCAACTGCTGTTGTCTGTCTGCCACTGAGTACTAGCAGCTGAAAAAAAAAAGAAAAGGAATGACACTAATGGAAAAACTCAGAAATAGCTTATCATGTGTGGCTCAATAGCATGTTTCTTTATGGACATGTGTGGTCTTGGCTGTGATTTTATAATGCATACATATAACATCATCCTATTTTACTGCTAGTAAAATTGTTCTGAATCCTATGATGGCATTAAACGTATAAATGTGCCGTGGTGTTCTGCAGAGAGCAACATGAGTTCCAGGTGTGTTTCCACCTAGTGGGTTTAAAAGCAGCTCTCCAGTTCCCTCTCAACTGGGAGAAAGAGCAGACAGGTGCCAGAGGTGAGTTAGGGTAAACTGAGCATATCCATTTGTGCACAAGTTCATAAATCATAAATTTTACCTCTCAAAGTGGCTTTAGACTCATTCTTCAGCAGGGACGAATGGACATATAAGCAGTTGTCTTTTTGAATAGTTTCTTTTGGATAATGAAAACTGTCAGATTTAAGGAATCAGCAAGAAAACCAACAAACTACCAGTCCTCAGAAATCATTACTACCTAAAGCAAATGAAGTTGTCCAGAACAAATTCCTTTGGTTGCATTATAAATATAAACATCATGCTTGCTGCACGTGGGCTAACCAGAAGGCTTCATTCTGCAGCGTGGGCAATTTGGTCTGTGGCCAAGAGTGGGCCAGTTAGCAGGGATAAAAACCAAAGGGGTTAAAGTCCATCATAAGGAGTGATCAGTGTTTATGAAGAAGGAAAATTTAAAATGCTCCATTGGACCCAGGCAACTGCACCTTTGCTCAGGGCCTAAGATAAAAAGGTAGATTCAAGTTCATCTGTGGGGCATGGTATGGTATTAATATCAGACCACTGGATCTTCTTCTCTTTGCTTGCATTTTTAAGTCACTTTCCCTTTCTCATGGCCAGGGTCTAGCAGGAAGAGAGAAAGGCTCATGGGAGCCCTTAGAGAGCCTTGCTTTGTCGTTTTGCCATATCAGAGACTCCCTTTCCTTGAGGTCTTCCCTGTGGTGGTTGACAGGAAATTGATTGACACCCCTTTGCTGTCGGGATATGGAGTCCTTCCTTCTAAGTAAACAGGTTTGCCTGTCTCACAGAGGGTGAGGCAAGTGACCAGAGAGGATAACTCATGTTGAAATTTGTCCTAAATCTTGAGTCTCACTAATTTGGCTTAGCATAGCTCTTGAAGTAGTTCAGTTTTTCATTTGATAATTCTTAAACATATGTATCACACATGATTAGCAGAGAAAAAATTCATCCTTTCAAGCAATCCCGTCTCTGCTTTCTGCTTAAGAGTATATTGATCTGTGAAGATCGTGTAAAGTGTAGTGGAAGCTACAGGTTGACGGAACTCAAGCTCTCTTTCCACCGTTATTTATAGCAGAAGCATCTACATTGAGTGTGTTTGTGTAGTGTGGAAAGACATGGAATTTGCTGTGAGGAACTTCTGTTTGAGTGTTAGACCAACCCATGTCCGAGGCACTGAGCTAAATATCTTATTTTCCTTTGGATTTAATGTGGAGATTTAGGAAAGTAAGAGGGGAGAAGTATTGAGCAATTGATTCTACATGTATTTATTTATCTGGGTTAAGAGAGGACTGGCCGGGGAGTTAGTGCAGCTGGTCTGCCCGGGGGTAAACTGGGTGTCTCCACCAACCACCACCCATTACAATTACAGCTACTGATATTTGGGTATCTATCATGTAACAGACACAACTCTAAACATTTTTCACGTAAGACCCATTTTTCCGGCATATTTGAGTATCTATTGTGTGCTTGCAGTCCTCAGGGAAAAAGGCTGTCACAGAACCTGTACTCCAGTATTTGGGGTGGGGGTGGGAGGCAGTGGAGTTGGAGAGAGACAGATGACAATGATTAAGTATTGTCTTCTAATGTACTCCAGCAGCATTAAGGAAAAAAGACAAAGTGCTTTATCTCAATGACAATTCTCAGTAATCCTGTAAGGTAAGTACAGTCACCCCAGAGACCTTACGAACTCTAGATGAGCTTCCTGAGCCCCTCCATTCCACTCCTTTGGGGTCCAGTTTCTTTCTCTGTTATGTGAAGGGCTAGCATTATATGGTTTATGATTCCAGTACAGGAACCCTGTCCTCCACAAAACACACACACACACATACACACACACACACATATGCACATATACACACACACATTGTAGGGAGTTAGCAAAGGCAATGAGGGGAGTGAGTGGACCCCATAATTCTGACAGGAGCTCCTAGGAAACGTGCAAGTGCTGGTGCTGAACACAGGCCTAGCCTGAGGTCTGCCAAGGCTATTTTTCTTGAACCAAATGTTTCTTCCCTTTCACCTTCATTCTGGTAAATATTTCCGATTTTCTGCCCCAAAACAATAAAAAGAATGAACATCCATCCTAAGAGTGTACAAATAGATGCACATTTCCAGACTTAAAATCCTTAAATGGTAATAAGAGACCCAGATAACACAGCTGAAAAACACATTTTTCAGTTAAATTAAGCCAGTGTTTGAGTGTTCTTATTATAAAGGAGTAGATGCACACAAGTGCGTGTGTCTGTTTAAGGGGAGTACGGATGTAGACTGGCTACCTCTCCCTCTCTCTCTGGGCTGCCTGCCGTTGTTCCTTGGCCTTTGCTCTCCCCAGGACCTGTTTCGCATCTTTGGCTCCAGAGTAAGCAACCAAAAAGAGTTCTGGGTCCATTAGCACCACTAGAAAGTCTTAGTTTCAATACTTTCTCCCCTGCACATTCTTCCTTTGAACCATGCATGGGCAACTCACTAGAACATGTGTTTTATGCCACGGTTTTATACAAAATGTGAATGTTAGAAGCTGCCCCTGTTATAAACACAAATGGTGGCATCCAGATCTCTTCAAGTGGACAGTGAGACCCAAGGCCTGCTGATGAGATTGATTGACTGTCTTGAGGGCTGAGATGGTTACTTTGCGGGGGTGGGAAGAACAACTACACTGTGGTGTGGACTTCAAAGTAGTTTGATAATCAATATCAGCAAGGAGATAATTCAGTAGTTAGCAGGTGAAAGAGGTAAAAGAACATATCTTTGTCCTCAGTTAGCAAGGGTCATAGAAGATTGCCCAGTTCTGACTGGCTGGGCAACTTAGCCAAAGCAAAAGGCTTTCAGTTCACTTAGGAAAGCCAGAAGATCTCCACACTGAGCTACATTTGTGTCTTTTACATCTTGTAGTAAGTTGGTACCTATTCTTTGTTTAATCCTCTTAAACAAATCCCCTTAAATCCCGTCTTCTCTGCTTTCCTTACTGTGTGCATCTGCTTCCTGGTTCTTTTAAAATTGCTTCAGCTTAACCCACTTCAGCCTTCTCAGAGATCTCCATTCATTTTTCAGCAGACATTTTACTGAGCATGTACTGTATGCCAGGCACTGTCCTAAGAGCATGGAGATCAGTAAGACAGATCCTATCATGGTCCTTGGGAAACTTTTGTTCTCAAGGCCAAAATCAGCTCTGACATAGCCCATCCAAGGACCGGCATTTGGAAACCACTGCATTTAGGTTATTTCCAAGTTTACTTCTCTTAAGCAAAAATAAGCAATATCCCTTTGAGATCTGTATAGAGAAAGCAGGAAAGAGCTTCATGTTGCAAACCACCAAGCCAAGGGCAAGGCAATTCTCATTTCACTTCACTTCAAATATTCATCTTGGGCCTAGAAAACCATGTCAAGGTGTTGCGTGCCCCTTTTTGGTCTTGCCCTTGGCTTAGTGGTCCTGAATGTGAATGTGGACTATCTCCTGTCCCTCCTAGAGCCTGGAAATAACCACCCATAAGCCTTCTCCTGCAGAGCCCAGGCAGAAGCCACCTCTTGTGCCAAGTCCCCTGCAATCATCCCGGCTGCAAGAGACCTCACTTGCACAGCGACAGGCTTAGCTCCATGCTTGGACACTTCTCAGCCATTGCTGTGTGCTGGTGGTGTCTGTTCTTGGGCTCATGCCTAGCTGCTCCATTCGATTATAAATCTATTGAGGGCAACTGCCCAATAGACCTTGTACCTAGCTGATACTTAAACAGTATTTGTGCCCTGATGGAGTAGATGTAATATGCTTCTGTTCTTGAGATATTTGCTAGACGGGCATGTCACTTATTTCTTGGAGTCACTGCTAGAGGGATGTTAAGATCTGCCATATCCCCTTTTCTTCTGTGCTGAAGGATATTCAGAGAATACTTACCAAGAGTTTTCTGACCTGGGGGAAATGCATGGCCTACAGAGTTGCAGTGATTGGATTTTAAAAAAATTACATATTTAATATGAAGAAATTTTTAAGTAGGTAGGCATCCAGACACTGAAGGGTATGCAATGCTCTTGTCAGAAGGACAAGGGTGATGTGAGATAGGGTTCCCTACTAAGAAATATTCTCAATTAGAAGCATACTCAAATCCATCCTAAGGATAATGTCACACATTGAAATTTGATGACTGAAAGAAGCTGCCATCACTGGATACATCCTTGGATAATAAACTGTGATGTAAGTTAGATAAAGAATGTAAGTTAGAATTGCTGTTTCTAATGATTTTTGCTTTACTCATAGGTGTCAAACCTTGGTCAAATATCATGGAAATCCTGGAGGAAAAAGATGGAGTTGATACAGAGCTACTGGTTTATGCAATGACTTTGGTGAACAAGGTTGGTTGACTGTGTTATGGATATGTTTAGATATGCTTAACATATCTAAAAAGATATGTGAAAGCCCTGACCCCTGGTATCTGTGCTTGTGGCCTTATTTGGAAATCGTGTCCTAGCAGACGTAATCCAGTCGTTAGGGTGGGCTCTGATGCAGCATGACTGTGTCCTTATAAGAGGAAAAGAGATACAGAGGGAAGACGATGTGAACATGCAAGGAAGACAGCCACGTGAGGACAGGCAGAGGTCAGAACGATGCATCTACAAGCAAGGGAACGCTATGGATTGCTGGCTGCCGATTGAGGATGTGGCAAAGACAGGCTTCCGGTAGAGCCTTCAGGGAACGCATGGCCCTGCTGATACCTTAATATCAGACTTCTAGTCTTGCAAACTGTGAGAGAATAAGTTTCTGTTATTTTAAGCCACCTAGTTTGTGGTACTTTCTTACAGTAGCCATAGGGAACTAATACATTGTGAAAATCTAAAATTTTCCCTCTGAATAAGAGCCACATCATGTGGACACCCATCGTGCTGGCTGGAACCATGGCTGCAGTGTGCACTACAGGAGAAAATCCTTTATGCACCCTGTGGGGTGGATGCGTGCAGGTGTGCCTGCTTGTGAAGGCCTGTGGATGCCTACATGTGTTCATGCTTTGGTCTTTTCTAGTAAAACCAGAAAGGTTTTACTAAATTTAAAAATAATAATAATAGTAATTATTATTATTATTATTTGAGACGAAGTCTCATTTTCTCGCCCAGGCTGAAGTGCAGTGGCACGATCTCGGCTCACTGCAGCCTCTGCCTCCCAGGTTCAAGAGATCCTCCTGCCTTAGCCCCCTAGTAGCTGGGATTACAAGCAGCCTGGCTAATTTTTGTATTTTTAGTAGAAACGGGGTTTCACCATGTTGGCTAGGCTGGTCTTGAACTCCTGACCTCAGGTGATCCACCCGCCTCGGCCTCCCAAAGTGTTGGGATTACAGGCATGAGCCATCATACCCAGCCAAAATTATTTTTTAAAATCATTTTTCCTTGAGGGAATATAAATTATGAAGTTTTACTCTAAGAAAATAGTTCACATGTCAGGAAGACAAGAGGTACACGTGTTCCACTGCATATTGAAGTTGGACTCTTGAGCTGAGATAAGGAATCCTGGGGGTAGGTCCCACTTGTCTCATGTGATGGTAACCACACCTGGTGCTCTCATTCCTGCTGTCGCGTCCCTCCCTGATCACCATCTTGTAGGGCAGTATTGGTCCTTGGTGCCCACCCCCAGAGGTGCTGCTCTGAAACAGTGGGGCCCATGCTGACCCAGGACAGGTCCAGTCTCAGGTCTGGAGTTTCTCCATTTGGATCACCATGCCTTAGAGCACAGGTACCTCACCAGCGCCCCCCCATGGACCTTCCTTGTACTCTCCGTACACGCTCACGCTGGGTGTGAGCCTGCGGGCCCATCTGCAGTGATGGTTAGGGCTTTAGGAAGCTCCAGAGTCCCTTCCTGAAATACAAGTGGAGAAACACTTTCCCTGATAAACTGGGGATAAATCTGTAGAAAGCAGTATAATTATGAAGAGCAGCTTCTCCTACTAGATAGTAAAATGTGCAAACTCTGAGGATTACAGCAACATGGTCTGGCCCTTTCCTCAGCAGACAGATGATTGGCGCAGAGGAGCTCTGAAAGAGACCTCAGTGTATAGAACAACTCACTGTACAGTTAACATTGGTGGGGACGGGTTGGCTACTGATTGGAGAGGTGTTGTTAAATGGAAGTAAACAAAAACATACTTTGACCATATACCACAGTAAGCCCTGGAGAGCTTAAAGCATTTATTGGAACATATCAAACTGCAGGGAGAAAAAGAGAAATGAAGACTCATTAGTCTCTGGTTGTTAACATTTATTTTAATAATAAAACCAGTGAAAAAGGTTCCAGAGGAAGAGATTTAACTATTTTACTGCATAAAATTTTAAAAGATCTTATTTATAAAATGAAAATCACAAATTATAACTAAATGCAAATGACAAACTGGGAGATTATTTACAAAAAGAAAGGTAAAAAATGATATTATCCTAAATATATTTTGAATTCAGTAGAAAAATGAAAGACATTAAACCAACTAAGAACAAAAGAAATACATAAGAAAACAACAAGACATATTTCTCAGGTCACATTGGCAATGATTGTCTTTTAATGAAATATCATTTGTTGATGAACACCCAGGAAACTCCTATAACCCTGGTGGGAAATGGGCACAACTTTTCTGAAGCATAATCCTAAGAATTCTGCTTTTATTTTCAAATCTTTTTGTGAGCTCATTTTACCATTTGATTTGAAGCAATTTTCTGTTGGTTTCTAAGGATTAAGGTCATCTATTTCCTGTCCTTTTTAGTCATTGACATTGTACTGGAAAACACTGAATTCAGCAAAAATGGAATTCTCATGCTGGCACAGTGTTCCCCATTGTAACATTATTTTATTGATAAGGCCATTCCCACATGTTCTTATGATCATACCAGTACCCACACAATATGGGTACTTTGTTGCTATTCACTGGCAGGGACCCAGTGCCTGTCACCCTCTGCTTGGTATTTTGTGGCATTTGATGTCCAGGAATCCCTCACTTGCTCTTTCTCATCTGGCAGTTCTTTCTCATCCTTTGTTAGTTCTAGCCAAGGAGACATCCAGAAAGATCCTTGAGGTCATTCATTCAAATGTAATCCTTTCCTTAACTAATTTATGCCTAGTGTTCCCTTATTGGAACGCTAAGCTTGTGCAAGTTATTTATATCCTTCTTCTCAAGGTCATCGCCAAGGTCTGATTTTTCACACACAAAAAATTGCAACCTCTGGCGTAAATGGGTTAAACAAGTCAACAGACCACCAGCGCTCATGCCAGGTTTGTTTTGTTTTGTTATATTGTTGTAATGCATATTGCCCAATGAGTAAACTCCTCTGAGATACCAAACAAAATAACAAAATGTTAATCTGGGTCTGGAAAACATTCAGACTGTGAAATCTGAGAAATTATATTGCAAGTTGGGTTGTTTCTAACTATTGATTTCAACAAAATAAAGGCCCTTAATAATATAGAATTTTTAAAAATGGACATTTCCATGACAAAACAATGACACTAAGTCCTATCCTGGTTACTGTTCTAAAACTGATTACCTTGTAAAATAGGATGAAGCAGACTGGGGATGGGAGGTAGAATGAGTAACAAGAGGGGTTACCGTGAGGCCGGCTTAGGGTATTCAGGGAAAGCAGGACCCCAGGGAGCCATGGGGGAGAGGAGTTGTTCAGTGGGGCTAGGGGATAACTAACCTGGATGGTACATGCTGAGTAGTTGCCTTTGTTTTTGCATGTACTTTTATTGTTTTAAAATTATTGCCTTAGTCCATTTTCTGTTGCTGTAACTGAATACCACAGACTGGGTAATTTATAAAGAAATCGATTTCTCACAGTTTTGGAGACTGGGAAGTTCAATATCAAGGTATCAAGGTCCTGGCATCTTGTGAGGACCTCTTTGCTGTGCCATCCATGGTAGAGGGCAAGGGGGCTGTAGGGGAAGAGAGAAAAAGGGGGTGAAACGTATGCTCTATTAGGAATGTATTTCTGCAGTAAGTAATCCACTCCTGAGATAATGGCATTCATCCAATTTACCTCCTTTCAACACTGTTGCTTTGGGGATTATGTTTCCAACGCATGAACTTTGGGGGACATATTAAAACCACAGCATTCTGCCCCTGGTCCCCAAAATTCATGTCCTCCTCATATGCAAGATATATTCATTCCATCCCAATAGCCCCAAAGTCTTAATGAATTCCAGTACAAACTCAAAAGTCCCAAATCCAGAGTCTCATCTGAATCAGGTATAGGTAAGACTCAAGGCACGATTCATCCTGAGGCAAATTTCCCTTTAGCTGTGAGTCTGAAATCAAACAAGTTACCTACTTCCAAAATACATTGTTGGAACTGGCATAGATGTTCACATTCCAAAATGCAGAAATAGGCAAGAAGAAAAGAGTAACTAGTTCCAAGTCCAAACCCCAAGAGAGAAAAAAACAATATTAAATCTTAAGACTCTAGAATAGTCTCTTTTGACTCCATGTCCCACATCCTGGGTACCTTGGGGTTGGGCCCACAAGGCCTCAGGCAGTCCCATCCCTATGGCTTTGCTGGGCTCAGCCCACACTTCAGCTCTCCTAGGTTGGAGCTTTTGCCTACAGCTTTCCTGGGCTGGACTGCACACTGGTAGCTCTGCATTTCTAGGGTCTTGAGGGCTGCCTCGCTCCCATGGCTCCACTAGGCATTGCCCTACTGGGGACTCTCCACAGTGGCTTCACCCCATGACCGGTCTCTTCCTGGGATCTGAGGCTGTCCACAACCTTCTTTTAGATCTAGGTTGAGTTCACCACGGCTCCACAGCTCTTATATATTTCATACCTGCAGAATTAGCACCGTGTGTTTTATGGCTTGTACCTTCCAGAGCAGCAAGGCCTGCTTGAGTCACAGCTGGAGTGGCCAAAAAATCCTGCACCAGAATTCTGGGAGCAGGATCCTGAGTGGCCCTGAGCAGTGAATGCTGAGGTACCGCTGGTGCTTGTCCAGAAACCTTGCCCTCGAGGTCCTAGCTTGCTTAGAAGGTCTCTGAAATGCCTTTGGAGTTTTTCTCCCATCGTCTTGGTGAATAACAGTGGCTCCCTTCTATCCATACTATAATCCTTTTAGCAAATGGTCACTTGGTCATCCCTTTGGTTTGCTTTCCAAAAGATGTCTTTTCACTCTTTCCATGGCCAAGCTGTGACTTTTTCAAATTTTTCTACTCTACTTTCCTTTTAATAAACTCCATATTTATATCACTTCTATCCTCTTGCATCTTCCTATATGCAATTAGAAGTAACCATACAACTCTTTCAATATTTTGCTTAGAATTTTTTTTCACCAGATGTCCTAGTTCATTGCTCTTAAATTCTGTCTTTCATTAGAGCCGTAGGACATGGACATAG